TCTGTGCCACCGCTCAGCAGAGCCAGGTGCCCCCATCCTCACAGTCCCACCGTTCCTCAAGAGGCAGCATTCACACCCAACCCAACCCAACTCCAGATGAAGGACCCTAACGTGTATCCAAGCACCATGAAAATATTCCACAGTACTCTCAACTGCGGATATGCGGATACCCAGGGCACAGAAGAAAAGCTTTTCATCTCCAAAGGGATAATGCACCAGTTTAGATTTGGAATGGTCTACAAGCAGCAGTTGCGGCTTGTTAGAGATGCCCGTAACAGGGAGTGGGTTATCAGTGAACAACTGAGTGATACAAAAATAAATGTAGGTTTTGTTTGTCTCCCTTCACCTTCATTAATGTTTAGAGGAGGGACAGGCTGGAGCCCAGCACAGATTTTAATTCAGCTGTTTCTTTCCTTCTGAAAACCTTTTCCTTTCTGAAAACTGACTTACAGGCAGGAAGAGCACACACACACAGAATACATTACCAATAATAATTCCTAAAATAAATACCAGGACATTAGATCTTCAACTGCATATAAAACTGATACACTGCGCCTGTCTTACTCCAAGCTCATGCTCTGAAATTATGCCTCTATTTGAATTATAAGCAAAAGCTTTTATCCAAAGCCTTTGCAGTTTTGTACGTTACTTCCCAAAGAGCTCCCTTCCCAGTCAGATTCAGAAATAAAACTTTGCTGAGGGAAAGAGCACAAAACCATCCCCATCACTCCCCTGCTGCTCAGATTAAGCAGCTGCAGTCTTCAGCTGCAGCATTAAGTGAAACAACATGCAAGAACCTGCAGGTGATTAGAAGTTCCAGGAGTAACTGATGCTCCTGGAGAAGCACAGTTCAGTCTGTGCGTGGGCACAGGGATGGCTCACCCTGTGCAGGAGGTTTGGCACCACTCAGCTGGCTGCAGTCACAGTGCAGGTGAAGGTGACATTTATTATGTGCAGATTGTAAGTGGTTTGGGTGCTGTGCAAGTAATAAGTAACGAGCAAGTCAAACAACAGATAATCTACACAGCCAAAAGCTTCCAGATGCCAATAAGAAAACTGTAACACCTTAAAAAAGAACTTGTTTTCAACAGCCATTAGCATAAAAATAAGTAAGACTTGGCACAGCTACACACGATGCTTTGAGGCTGATTATATAATTAAAGGCATAAGGTGACAATCGTAGGCAAAAATGATCAAGGAACCCAAGCCTGAATGAGATTATTTCTACAAAATCGGAACAGCTCTGGTTCAGTGGCCCAAAGAGGCAAAATGCCCAATGCCCACCAACCTGCACTGTGACCTGGGAGCTATCAGTAACATCCAAATATCACCGTTAGACCAGCAACAGCACAGGGTTATTCTCAACTTTCACACTATCCAGCTGCTACCAAATATGCCAGGCTACCTGCCAGCTGCACCCTGCAAAACATGATAATACAAGGTTTAATGGAAGGTGCAGCACTGTGCCAGCATATTTGTGTTCCCTTCAGCGGGTGGAATCCTGCTGATGACCTGCAGCAGTGCTCTGATGAAGCACCAGCTGAGAACTGTGCCTTCCTTTCTCATAGGAGAAACTTGCCCCAGGAAACATGGCAAGCAGCCTGGCTTCAGCACAGACAGAAAAGCAGCCTCATACTGACTGCAACAGAGGGAAAATATGAATGTTAAATAAGATACTTTGGTACAGCGCCCCAATAGCTGGAAAAAAAATCAGTTACTGTGACCTCAGAGCACTGACTCACAAAACTGCATTTCTGAGAGCTCCTTCCCACATAAGAAGGGAACAGATCTCAGAACACCCCATACTTTGCCTCAGAGGCACCTCAGAGCCCTTCCAGGACTGCACAGAGCAGTCCATGAAGTGTGGCCACCTCTAATCACAGAATCGTAGAATGGCCTCGGATGAAAAGGATCCTTTAGTTTCAACCCCCCCCTTCTGTGTGCAGAGTCACCAGCCACTGATCAACCTCAGCACAAAAACAACTTTGCTGAATGCAGAGCAAAGCCTTTTCCATAAGTCTCACCCCAGAGCTGAGCAGCTCTATATATTCAGGAGTTTCGACACGTACTCTGCTCAGAAGGACTTGGTTCCTGATGGCTCACCCCAGAAAGCTGCAGATGCCAGCTGCACAATGCTCCATGTGCAGCAGCCAGGAGCTGTAGAAGTGTTGGAGCAGCCTGCAGAAGGAGCCTGAGAAGGTTCACAGTGCAAAAGCAACAGCATCATCCTCCAGAATTAACGCGGACCAGGCAAGCTGATGCTTTTCAGTGCAGTACTAACACCATCCTTTTTAATTAGGTTTCCTATTTTAGTTCATTATATACCCAAGGAAGTTCAGACTGCCTCCACATGTTTATTGCTATTCCAATCAAGACTAAAAATATTTCAGAAAACAAATCTCTTCTCAGGAACAGCCATAAATCTGAGAGGTGGAAGGCTGAGCATCAGGGAAACATCAGTGCAGTGCTGGAAAGTTAATTTCTCATGCAGAAGGGCTGTATATTGCAGTCTGTGGCCTCAAGACTTATTTTTCCCTTTATAAATGCAAAGCACAACTGCAATAATTTCACAACAGACCATGAAGAAATCGATTTGGCAATCTGAACATAAATTAAGTAATGTTTTTGATTCAGGAAACTTGTTGTGATCTACATAGGAACAAGTATTAGTGAAGGTCAGCGACCCACGGCCAAGCGTTTGCTTTGATGAAGTTTGTAGGCATTTCAGATCAGAGCACACTCCAAATTATTTCACCTGTAAGTTAACCCTTTATGTATTCCTAAAGCAATTTCAGAATCACTGGGAGCTTTTCCATTTGTGATTCAACGTTTTAAACGCGTGTTAATGGAATTACACATTAATCAGCAGCCACGTATTTGGTAACTAACAAACATTCCTAATGAATAAAGAGCAGCATGGCAGGATGGCACAGACTGCAGCCTCTGAGCTGCCAGATGCCACGGGTCCCATGGATAAACAGGCACCACCAGGCAGCACAGGAGATGAACTCCCATCTGATCAAAGCCAATATCACTAGAAAAAGATCAAACTGTTTTGTTACAAAACGTATGAAGACTAAAGTTCCTGAAAGATAACGAATGCATTTTGAGAGAAAACAGCAGTTCTCAATTTCACTGCCCTACCTTAAAGCTGCATTCAGTATTCAGATTCATTTCGGACTTGCACCATAACAGCATCATTTTTTGGAACAAGCTTTCCGTGCAGTTAATTTATTAAAAAACCTGAATTCTGACACCCCTTGAAGCTATTTCAACTGCATCCTTTGTACATTAAAAGTTTTAATATTCACACCTGCTATCAATTCTGTACAAATCGGAACAAATACATTTCCAGCTTAGATCCTTTCACCTCAAGCAACATCAAGTAATTGGTGCAATAACTTCACGGTTTTTAGAGCAAGATCAAATGAATGAGTGCCTTTCATGTCTTGTAATAGTTCTACAGTTTATATTAAAAAAATCATTTGAGTAATGAATTTAATTATTCAGGGTAACAGTTTCAAAAGTCGTAACAAACATGCATTAGTGAGGAATGACTTCATTCTGAGATGCAAAAACACGTCAAAAACTTATTTTTCTTTAATAAGAGGGCAAAAGTGATCTCAGGCAATACAGAAACATGCTTAACATCACAGTGCCTGCATATGGTGACTCCAGATAGCAGCAAAACACAAGGGGAGAGGAGGGGAACCATTTCCTTCACTTTTGCAGAACAGAGGAGGGACACCTCAAGGGAAAAACACCTGTGGCAGAACTCAGAATTGCACAACATTCAACTCCATTCAAAGGATTGTCAGGCCTGCTAAACAGTAAAAAGCATCTTTTCCACTGCCTTAAGCTGCTGCACTGAAATTAAGCACACAAACACAGGTATTTGTAGTTGGGAGTCAGCCAGAAGAAATGGGATTCTCCAAGTAGAACAAAAAATCCTGAGACTTAAATAGATCTGAGTGCTGCAGGACTCCATCACAGGCTCATCGTTACCTTGGCGCTGACTGCCAGCACACAAGTGTTTGAGGCAACAAAATACCCAAGTGTTCTTCCTCTTGCTTCCCCACCAGATCCCACTTCCAACCATTTGAGCAATCATTTAGCAAACCTACAGTAATCAGAAACTCATTAAATAATTAAAATTTTTCCAGCATTCATTGTTTTATTCTTATGAAAATCATATTTCTGGAGCTTTACGGCTCTGCTGTCTCGCCTCTGTTTCAGCCAAGTGAGAATCTGAGCAGAAAGATCACACTGCAAATTCTGGTGAGGACAGCCTACGTGGGACACGTTACAGAGCAGGGAGCAGACTCCTAACCAGCATCACCACGAGGAAAGTCAACAGGGTCACCTTCAGCACAGAGTGGGTTCAGCTGCTACACCACCACCACAAACTCAGGGCTTGAATGCTGCTGAGCATCACCACGCTGCATTGATGCACCCACCTCCCCTTTCAGGCCATGCATTCAGGTCCCCTTATGCTTGAATCAACATCACTGTTGCTCATTAAGGCCACACCACCACCTCGGTATGTTCCTGATGGCTCTGTGCTTTGCAGCAGGGATCCTGTGGCCTTTTAAGCTTGCTGGTCCCCTCAGAACTACGCATGCCTCAGTTTCCCTTGGGCTAAGCAGGGAAAGGACTTCTTCAGGTTTCACCTGAAGTCTCAGTGACCCAAACAGATCCAGGTCAGAGTTCGCTCCTTAAATTAGCTCAATTGTCCCAATGCCCCAGGACAGAGCATACCATGAAGCCTTTGGGGGCTGAGACCACATCTCCACTACAACCGGGTGCACAATTTTACTCTCAGACCTACAGCTTCTCATACTTCATGGCCTCTACACAATCACTGCTTCTCATCTGACCTCCTCAGCGTGTGCTTTGTACAAATACACAGATATAAGCCCCCACTTGTTCTGTCTTCACAGTACAGAAAACCTGAGAACAGCACAAACACAGGAGCTGCAGCAGCAGCCGATCTGCCGTACCTCTTGGTGCAGCCTCCCCAGGTCTGAGAGCGGCCGTCTGCTCCCATCCAAGTCCATCCATCCCCTTGTGAACGACAGGAAAGCCCCAAGCAAAACGAGAGACAACGGAAAATTTCTCGACTTCATCATTTCACGTCTGTTGAAAACAAGAGAACAGTCATGAAACAGGCTCAAAATAAAACCCAGCTCAGATTCAAGGAAGTGGCAGGAGCCAACAGAGCCCACCTCCGCTTGGTAACTGCTGGCGGGGCTTTGCAGACTCCCATGGCACATTCAGTGAGACACAGCCTTCCTATTCTGCACCCATCAGTGTGCAGGCAATGAATTCCCATATGGCAACAGCTTTGTGAGCTATTTCCCCACAGGGCATGCTGCTCCCAGCCTGCTCCTGCACAACCCCTGCGAACTGGAGCACTGGGATTTCCAAACCTGTAATGAGCAGCAAACCATACCAAACAAGGTGATGCGACTAAAAATCATTATTCCTCTCACATTCAGAGGATGATGCTGCCCCGGGCAGAGGCTGCGCTCAGAGCTGCAGGGCCAGCCAGCAGCCTGGGCTCCAGCTGGCACCCAGGAGCTGCCAAGCCTCTCCCAGATGACAGCACCTTGCCAGTGGTCCCTGACCCCACCAAAACCTGAGATCCACAACAATTCTGTACCAAAAAGGTCCGATATGTTACTCCCACCCCTCATCCATGTCAGCCTCTCCTGAGGCTGCGATTTCTCTGCTCATCCTGCTCTCTGGCAGGGAATTAGAAGATGTGAAAAGTGGCTTTTAAAGTGAGCTTGTATTTTTTTTTTTTTTTAGTTCAGAAGAATACAAATGCAAGCTACTCATAGGGTTGCCAGGTGAAACTGCTGCATGTTTGCTTATGTGCATAACCCTGAGCTAATGCCTGGAAGAGCTGCCAAGAGCATCCCAAGGCGCAGGCAGCTCCAGAACAGCTCAGCCAGTTCTTTACTTCTCATAAAGAAAATACCAAAGGAGTCCTCACCCTAGTTCCATTTCCACAGGAGCTGAGGGAAGCTTTGACCTTTCACAGCATCTGCTAACACAGACCATAATGAAGCATAATGACCACTTAATGAAGCAGGAGATGGCATTTCAATAGCATGCAAGTGACAGGCTGCTGCTTGGTTTGAGCAATATGCATTAACAAGACATGTTACCTGCTAATGGCAAAATTAAGCCCAGCTGTATTAAGTCACCGTGACATACCTTGCCTTGACAGAGCTCATTTTACAGCTCTTTCATACCGTGCATTTGCTGCAGGGTATATCCAAGGCTTGGCGCATCGCTATTAATTTTGGAGCCGTGACCATTCACACCAATGCTGCCTCGGTCTGTTTGCTGCCCAAATACACTGCCAACAACGCCAGCACAGCCAGCAGTCACTGCATACCACTCACCCATGCAGTTAAGGCATCGCTTTTCCTCAGCGCTAATGTAAACACCCTGAATTGAGAGCACTCAGGATGAAATCAAAATTTATTAGCCTTTCTAAATTCCAATTAGAAGCCTCAGATGTAATGTTACTGAGGCTACAAATAAATGTTTAATAAACCAAAGTCACTATATCAATAAGCTACAAGTACATTGTTACATTATGGATTGCTCTTACAGAGCAGTACTATTTCTCACGTTTTACAGAGGTATTTGGTATTCTCTGTTGATAGCATCACAGCAAATACTCTCACTTTGCAGTTCTGGAGACCTCTCATTCGTATGCTGCTTGAAATCCCAGTCCTAGAGCAAAACAGAGAGCTGGCTACTTTCATGTGTATTTAGTAAACAACTGCTGGAAAACACGACGATGCTTGGATTAGGATGCAATAACACTAATGAATCCAATAGGGCAGCAACTGCATGCTGGTTTTAGAAATGGAATTGGTCAAACATCCTCTCAGTTTAGAAATTACTTATTTTCATTGCAGACCGACTGACAGCATGTTAATTGCTCCCATTCATAACAAGGCAAAGACATACATATTATGCAACCAAACAGCTCAAACCAAGCAACAAGTATGCACCATAAATACCAAGCAAGAGTTAACTGAAGACACACAGTGATTGTGTCACCTGATATCCCAAAGCTCCCTCTGCATTTACACCGCTGAGCTGCACACCTGTGTCACACAGCCAAGCCACAGCCTCCTTGCAAAGCCTGATCCACAGCTGCACTGCACAGCACAGCCATGGGACTGTGGTCCAGTCCCCAAAGTCAAAAGAAAAATTCAAATGGGATAGATTTGGATCCCCACTATAAAATGCATCCAAGCTTACTAGCAGTTTCCTCACTTGAGCAAGGCACAGATTGCAGGAGATGAGCCCATACAGACACCACTGCTCACAGCACTGCAAGCTCACAAACAGAAACCAGGCACGAAACACGCTGCTGCACAGGTGAAACCGTGAACAACGTTTGCAGCTAAACACCAGCAGCCCCCTGGAACCCAAGGGGGGAGGGGGCAGTGCCACCCACCTGCTCTCTGCAACCTGTGAGAGCAACCAACCAACCTCCTGTGTAACTCAAGCACCAGAATTAAACCTGGCTATTTTCAACAAAGGTGAGCACCACATCTATTTATGACATCTCCTTCGGTTTCAGGGCAATTCCTTCCAAAACCATTCATGCTCTTGTGCTACAGAAAAGCTAAATTCACCTGCAGCTCACGGCTCCTTGCACTGATCTAGAGCTGCAGCCTGGCTTGCAGCTGGCATTGCTTTACCAGGAAAGGCTCCAGCAGCACAGCAGCACCATTAACCATTAACCCAAGAACGGCCCATCCTGTACTCAGATGGGTTTGTGCACACACCAACACAGGGACAAAAATAAGAATCAGTGCAACGCATCTGAATGAAGAGAACCACAGCAAGCAGCCAAACCAAAGGCACCAGCACAGGTCTCAGGGCTGCTCCAGCAAAAAAGAGGGTCACCTTGAAGAGACAGGGACTGATCCAAGGGCCAGCGGAGCACAGAGCCCCCGAGCTGCTCAGAGCACTCTGTGATGCACAGCCAGCAGTCAGGCTGCGGGATCGCTGCACAGAGCTCACAACTTCTTCCTCCCCAGCACAGAAGAAGCGTTTGGAATTCCTTGAGGTGACGACAAGGAGATGAAGCCATTTGCCCAAACCATTCTTCAAATAGGTTTTCTGTTCTGGGCTCCTTCAATCGCAGCTTGGTTTTTTGGCTTTTTTTTAGGGCTGAGAAATTAATAGCTCACAATAGCTTTCACTAATTTCCAATGAGCTTCACATTAGAATGAGAATCAACTTAATTACCTGAAACGATGGCTGTTGCCATAGCAAAAGGAAAGCACTCAGACCAGAGCTTTACCTCTGTAAGTTGGCTCTGATGACACCAGATAAGAATCTGATCCTCATTCCTCTGCCACCAACCGATCCCACTGCTTCAGCCTCATCTAAACAGCATTTCTGGGCTCTGCAAGTAACGCTGACGTCCAGAAATTCTCATCAAGTGTGAGAAAGTTACAAAATCAAGGAAAGATCCGTTCTAGAAAAGCCTTTCAGCAGAGCAGAGGGAAGGCAATGATTTCAGCCAGCTCTCTGCACCATCTGACACAGACAAAGTTTGGATGCATTAAGAACTCGCTGGAACCAACTGCACGACTGCTGCATTGCTTTCGAGCAAAAGCACACTTACGAATATTTCAAAGAAAATTTCACTTCCAATTCTTCAAGACACTTCAGCGCTCCCAGAAAGAAACGCTGGGAAACATCAGCCCCGCGGGGACGAAGGACCACGAAGAAACTCCCGAACCCGACAGAACCGTATTGCCGCGGGTTGGCTCCGAAGCTCAGCGCACGGCAACACCGCAAAACCACTCATACCCAACGCAAGAAAGCGCTTTAGACAAGACAGCGTGCCCGGGATCGCCACCAGTAACAACCGCACCGCTCCGCCGCGGTGAGATAACGGCACAGAGGCGCCGGATGCCGAGCACCGCCTGCGTCCCTCCGCCGCTCCACGCGCGGACCCGACGGGGCGCTCCGGCTCCACAGCGCCACCCGGAGGCCGCCAAGGGAAGCGCTACCCCCACTCGCGACCGCGGCGGGACGCTCAGCACCGCGGACGTCGGCATCGCCCGCTTCGGTGCGGCCCTGCCGCAGCACTACGCCGGGAGGGGACCGCCCCGACCCCACGGAAGGAACCTTCCCCTCTTTTTCCCCACGCTGCGGGACTCGGGGGGCGGAAAGAAGATCGCAGTCCGAGAACTGACGAAGCCGCAGCATCCCCGGCAGAGCGCACGGCGGAGGGTCCCCCGCGGGCTCTCCCCGCACAGCGGCAGCGCTCCAGGATCTCGCACGGTGGAGGGGCGGCGCGGAACCCCCAGCGGGACGGGAGAGCTGCGGGTACGGCCGCGCGGAACGCACTCACCTGCGGGACAGCGGGACGGGGCGGGAGCGGCGGCGGCCGTGTACGCGCCGCGGGCCGGGGCGGCCCTATTTCTGCTCTCTGGGCCGGAGCCGCCTGACGTCAGCGCGGCATTTGCATATTCCACCCAATCGCCGGCACCTGTGCGGGACGGCGGGACCGCCCCCACGGGGCACGCGGGGATGGGGACGGCGGTACGGGAGGGACCCGACGGGGGGCACCGCGAGCGGACGGCGGGGCCGCACCGTCGGAGGGCGGAGGGCTGTGGCGCCGTCCCGGGGCGGCACACCTGGAGCGTGGGGGGCGGGGTCCCAACCGCCCCGTGGGGATGGTGCCGCTCGGAGCTGGCAGGACATAGGAGGGTCTGCTGGGGAAGGGGGATCCGAGGGATCGTGGGGGCATCCTAAATAGGAAAGGCGTCGGGCTGCTGGGTTTAGCTTCCCAGCACACTCCAGATTTGCAAACTAACTGCCCCGAGTGCCCTGCTGTTGCAGCCTCACAGCGTGTAGCCGCTCAGTGGGGCGGACATCCACGGGGATAAGGGAAAAACGGCGCAGACAGATCACAGCTGCTCCACCCCAATTCACTGCCAGCATCTCTGCGACACGGGGTTGCCCTGACGAGGCCCCAAATTGTCCCAGTAGGACTGTGCAACTCACCAGCAGCAGCACAGCAGCACTCTGTTTCACAAAGGATTCCTTTTCTTTTCGTGGTCGCACAGAAAACAAACATTAACATTCACTCGTTCTCCTCTTCGCCGTCTCATCTGGTTAAAAACAAAAATAAAAATCTATCAAATCATTGCTCAGTTGTTTTTTTATAAAGTGTTGAGTGTTTACAGGAGAAGAGCACAAAACCGGACTGCAAAGGGGATTGAGGGTGTTTGCTTTCAAAGGCACAAACTGCATCGCAAAGGAGCAAATGCTCACAATTAGCAGCAGAAGGAGATGAGCTGCCTAAATGACCCGATAAAATATGGTAATTTGTGTGTTCCTTCGCATATAGAAACGTCCAGCCGGATCAGAGTGTTTAAATAGGATTTGTCATTGGCTTTGGTGTGAAAGGAACGGGACCCTCCCC